ATCTACTTTCACTAAAGTCATCTGCTTCTGAACGAGAAAGTCCTAGAAATCTTGATCCATTCCATAGTCTGACAGGTGTCTCCTGGTGGTAATGGTGTCCGCTTATTTGTTTCGCTTGTTTGTTTTTTGAGGCAGGGTCTCACTGTGTCACCCATGCTACAGTGCAGTGGCATGATCACAGCTCACTACACCTTGACCTGCTGAGCTCAAGCAATCCTACCTCAGTCTCCTAAGTAGCTGGGACCACAGGCGTACACCATCATGCCCAGCTAATTTTTTTTAATGTTTTTGTAGAGATGGGGTCTTGCCACATTGCCCAGGCTGGTCTCAAACTCCTGGGCTCAAGCAATTCACCCACCTCAGCCTCCCAGACACTGGGATTACAGGTGTGAGAAACTGCTCCTGGCTGGAAAGCTGGTATTGAGGAATCTTTCCAGTAATCACAATAGTGAAACGTACCTTAAATAGTGTCTAAAGAGGCTTTATTTTGACATGTCTACTATAAGTTTCTGTTTCTGACCTATAGTTTATAGCAGGTGACTTTAGGCCAGTGTGACACAAAAACAGATACCGGCACTTGGAATAAAGCTCAATGGCTCAGACTGGTTGATAACAATATCATATGGAGCGGAAACAGCACGTGACCATTTCCTCAGGATTCAGTTAGTGATACCCCAACACTCAAATATTTTGGACACTGAGAATATCGACAAATCTCCAGGCTCTTTTAATTCATCCCGTAAAATGTTTGTTAAGATTATTGTTAAACGAGAGGAGTACTATATTTTATTTTATATTTATTTATTTATTTAAAGACAAGGTCTTGCTCTGTCACCCAGGCTAGAGTGCAGTGGGTGATCTTGGCTCACTGTAACCTCTGCCTCCCGGATTCAAGCAGTTCTCCTACCTCAGCCTTCCAGGGATCATAGGTGTGCGCCAACACACTTGGCTAGTTTTTGTGTTTTTAGTAGAGACGGTTTTGCCATGTTGGTCAGGCTGGTCTCAAACACCTGGCCTCAGGTGATCCACCCACCTTGGCCTCCCAAAGTGCTAAGATTACAGATGAGAGCCGCAGCACCTGGCTGAATACTGTATTTTCATTTTAAACATAAAACCAGTTTAAAAAATGTATTTGTCAAAAGATATGCCAGTCTTTGTAATAGATATGAGTATCCAGCTATCGATCTTGAAAGAAGTTGCTAAAAAATTCCTATTAATAATCTTGTATACAATTCCCTAGGGAGATTGAACTTCCCTATTTGATTTCTCATATTGTGGATTTAATAAATACAAGTGCTGTAATGATAATGCTAAACTAATTAAAAGCATAGAGAATACGAGACATTCCCAATCATGTCTGGCTTCCCTCCTTCCTGTAGTGAGGGAACAAGTCTGTAGCGTTGGCCATTTGTCATCTGGGGAGTTCCACAGGTAGCTGAGATGTATAGAAAACAGTGAGAGCTTTATTATTCCAAATTTGGGAAAAGGCAGTTTGAGAAAGAGTTAGAGGTGATTTGATATAAGCATAAGTTATTAGGTGTATAAAGACAAGACATGGTAACATACTTGGTTCAGAATAATGATATTTAAAATAAACACAGTAGCAAATAATTGAGAACCCTAGACTTTTCAGAAGTAGACTTTTGTTTACTGGGATTCAAAAGCATCACAAAAAGCACCAAAAATTAACCAGCTCTCAAGTGATGTTTTGGTGCGGTAAGGAACCTGTCTTACCCAGGTACGGAATTACATCTGACATTTTCTTTATCACAAAGCAGTTTTCTTTGGAATTATTGATTTTTTCCTCTTATAGTGTATATATTGTTTTACTTTGTTTGAAAATGTTAAGATACCTTTGTGTGTGTGTGTGTGTGTGTGTGTGTATTGAGATATACACAAAACCAGCACATTTAAATCTTTTCACTTTAAAATAGACTAAACTTTATCAGCACATTCAGGAAGACAATACCCATACCACATTGATTGATCACGTTAATAAAACTGGAACATTTCTCTTGATGAACTAACAGCACACATCAATTATCTTGAATACAGATTCATACTTGCAAATGGTATCGCTTTGCAATTTGTATGTAGTATAGCCCCAGCCTCACAGAGTCATTCTTCTTCCCTCAGAGACCCAGAGAAAACCTGAAACCATTAGTGACCGGCACTACGAGTGGATTGTCAGGGAAGTTCCAAAGGCAGTCTGATGGGAGACACCCTGCCAGCTCTGTTTTTGGGAACACATCCCTCATCTCTTCATGCCCCTAAAGTGGTGAGAGGAAGCAGCACCAGCAAGGCCCACGGGTGTCTGCAGGTCCTTCTCAGCCTGTTAATCTTCTGAGCCATTCCTCTCTGTATACCGGGAAGAGGCATGGGAGAATATCTTGGTGTTTTTGTGTTTTCTGGCTTTGTGAATTTCATCTCCTTAGAAATTGTCCAGATCCCCCAAAGATTATTCACTATTTAACGAAAGGAAATATGAGTTCAGGGTCTTCAAGTTAATAAGGAGCTTGGAAACTATATTTAATCTGATTCACTGTGGAGAAACACAATTATCAATGATATTATGAGATGATATTTTAATAATTTTACCCAGATAGATATGGAGAATAATGCTGTGTACAGTCATATCAAATACCAAAGAACAAACCCTTTTAGACATTACAATTAAATTTACCTGAACACCCAATATTTACCTTCTCATAATGTTAAATGTTGGCCAGTAAAACCAGTAACGAAAATTTGAGAGTTTTCAACTAATTAGGCTTTTCATGAGAACATAACCAAAGTTTGTATATATTATAAAAAATTATGTTTAGAGGGAGAAGACATAGATAGCTATTTTTTAAATTGAAGTTATCAAACCAGTCTGATTTGTCTCAGAATTTGCCTTAATTGAGACTATCATATAATATGCCCTTAGTTACCACATAAGAGTTTTTAATTGATGTATTTTTCTGATCACCAGTTGTCATTCAACAGAGCAGCCAGTTCTGCTGGAAGAAAGGACCCTTCCTTCATTGTAAGAAGGAGGTTGGGCGATGCATGGTGTAAACATGAAGGGAAGTAAGAGAAGAGGCCGGCAGGGGCGGGAGAAGGGGTAGAAAAGGCGTGAGGGGAGAGTTAGCAGAACGTGGCGGAGGCCTGAAGTCATCATCTCAGGGACAGAAGGGAAACACAGGGTCTGCACAGGGCTGCGTGTTGTGTCCATCAGTGATCGTGTGCATGAAGTGAGATGCATTTCTTGACTGTGGTCATTTCTCCAGGGTCACTCAGCCTCTTGTGGGCAGGCTTGGAGTGGGCAGGTGACACAGTTCATCTGGGATAGAGGTTTTGCCAGGTGGTACAGGAGATGGGCAAAGGAATTGAAGGCATTTGCCAAATAAGTGATTATAAAGTGAGTCCATGTAATTCAGGTTGGCCAAAGAGCACAGCAGCTAGAAAGGGGCAGATGGACCAAAGTGGGGGTAGTGGCAGTGGGTTAGGGCTGAGGGCAAAGACCTGAATGGCCAGGTGGGCACAGGGTTAGTGGCGTGGACTTGGGACACTCAAGGATTGTGCTAAGAACTGGGGTGGGCCAGGTGTGGTGGCTCACACCTGTAATCCCAGCACTTTGGGAGGCCGAGAGGGTGGGCGGATAACAGGTCAGGAGATTGAGATCATCCTGTCCAACTTGGTGAAACCCCGTCTCTACTAAAAATAGAAAAATTAGCTGGGTAGAGTGGCGCATGCCTGTAGTCCCAGCTACTCGGGAAGCTGAGGCACGAGAATCACTTGAACCCAAGAGGCGGAGGTTGCAGTGAGCTGAGATCGCGGCACTGCACTCCAGCATAGCAACACAGCGAGACTCCGTCTCAAAAAAAAAAAAAAGAACTGGGGTAGAGAGAAAATTGAGAGCCAAGAGCAAGTCTTCAGTGAATGGGGGCATGTTTCCAGAATGTCTGCAGGTGACAGAGAGAAAAAGGAGAAAGGCTCGTGAAGCTGCATGACATGGGCTTCCCGCAGAAGGGTCATGGTCGGAAGCAGCAATGGGGCCCAGTCCCCACCCACCTGCTCCTGCAGTCAGAGGACTTAAGGAAGAAATGGCCTTTCTTCCAGAGGCCAGCAGAGGCAGCAGGGATTTAGTTAGAATCAGGTGATGAGGGGACTCTTGCCAGCAGAGTAGACAGAGCACGTTTCACTCTGGGTAGCCCAGTGGGGGACCAGTCCTTGCCCAGCAGTGGAGCGGCATCATGGTATCCTGATTTGGACCAGTGGCGAGTGGGCAGTACTAAGCATTGGCTGGGTAAAATCAGTCTGCCCTCTGCTGAAGCATTAGTACCGAGTCATTCAGTTCTTTCAACTGATGTCTGCTCAGCACCTCCTGTGTGCCAGGCCCCTAGCAGCCGTGGGGATGGGAAGACACATCAGATGCAGCTGCCCTCCGCTGTGGGGCACTGGGTTTCCACAAGGGGCCCCTGAAAAAATACAGTACTCAGCCAGGTGCAGTGGCTCCGAAGGAGTTCTGCTGTTTTAAAAAACAAAACAAAACAGAATATGGCCTGGGCGAGGTGGCTCACGCCTGTTATTCCAGCACTTTGGGAGGCTGAGGCAGGTGGATCACCTGAGGTCAGGAGTTTGAGACCAGCCTGGCCAACATGGCGAAACTCCACCTCTACTAAAAATACAAAAATTAGCCAGGTCTGGTGGCAGGCGCTTGTAATTCCAGCTATTCGGGAGGCTGAGGCAGGAAACTCACTTGAACCCAGGTGGTGAAGGTTGCAGCCAGCCGAGATTGCACCATTGTAGTCCAGCCTGGCCGACAAGAGTGAAACTCTGTCTCAAAAAGAAAAAACAAACAAACAAAAAAAATAAGAAAATGAAAACCATTGGTCTAAGAGAATCTGCTAGAGTCTTAAGAGGAAGATCTCATTCTTCCCAACAAGGCCCACTTTCCTTTTTCAGAACTAAACCCATGCTGCCTCTTGTTTTTGCCTGTCCCTGCCCATTTCCAGAGTTTGGCGTGTACTGCAGCCACTGCCGGAGCGAGGTCCGTGGCACACAGTGTGCCATCTGCAAAGGCTTCACGTTCCAGTGTGCCATCTGCCACGTGGCTGTGCGCGGATCGTCCAATTTCTGCCTGACCTGCGGACACGGTGGCCACACCAGCCACATGATGGAGTGGTTTCGGACCCAGGAGGTGTGTCCCACTGGGTGTGGGTGCCACTGCCTGCTTGAAAGCACATTCTGACCCTACAGACCATGGATGTTGTCTGAAATCCCAGAGGACCCATAAATGCCAGTGACAAGCTGTCTGCCAGGGGCAAGGCTCCAGAACCAGGGTTCATCCCCAGTGAGATGGGAGCCCGGTTCCCCAGGATGTGCAGCGTCAGCTCTTGGCAGGCCTCTGCCTTCTCTTCTGTTTGCTGCCTGGCGTGGATGTCAGTGTGGGAAGATGAGGGCGGACGTGGGCAGAAGCGCAGAGCTGTGCTTTGTGTGTCGTCTGTCGGCTCAGCTACCAAGATGGAAGTTTTCATGGAGAAAAGCCCCTGGTTCCAGGGCTGATGTTCCCCTTCAAGGTGTTAGCCTTAAAACACCAAACGGCGTTCTCCTGATGCCAATGTGGAGACCAGAGTCAGATGGAAAAAAGGTCTCCTGAGCCCAAGGACAGTGGGTAGGAATTTAACCAGCAAGTGTGCCTAAGGCATCCTGGCTTTAGAACCTGGTACATTTACTGAGCTGATGGACCGTGGCCTTCTAAAATATACTTCAGTTGTAAGTATGCGGTATACCGAGCGATTCTTAAGATATAGTTTTTGTTTATTGTTTCTCCTCCACCTGCTATTCCTTGGCTAATAAAATTCTAGTAATTATTTGAAAAAAAAGAGAAAGTTAAACAACATTTTGGTGAATCATTTTTTACCTACTTCTGATTGAAGGTAGCTATTTTGAATAGGACCAAAGTCAGTGCTCTGATTTTTAAAGGAAATGCTCATTTACTTTTGTCATCTGACAGGAGAAAATAGAATTTGACATTTAAGGTTCTTCCCGGCCCCTAGCGTCTTCTTACTTCTTCTAGCAAAAGGAGGACGAGATTGCTGTGCAGCCTGGATAGCAGAGTCTCCCTCGGGTGGGCGCTGTGGCTCACGCCTGTAATCCCAGCGCTTTGGGAGGCAAAGGTGGGAGGATCACTTGAGCTCAGGAGTTCAAGACCACCCTGGACAACGTAAAGAGACCCCATCTCTGCCAAAAATTAGAAAATAGGTTAGGTGTGGTGGCTCATGCCTATAATCCCTGCACTTTGGGAGGCTGAGATGGGAGGCTCACCTGAGGTCAGGAGTTCGAGACCAGCCTGGGCAACATAAGGAGACCCCCATCTCTACAAAAAATTTAAAAAACAGGCTGGGCGTGGTTGTGGACACCTGTAATCCCAGGTGCTTTGGAGGATGAAGCAGGAGAATGAGATGTTTTTCATGTTTTAGTTTATTATTGGAGAAACATTGGCTCTCACAGCCGAAAAAATTTAATAATGGGTGTTAAGAAATTTCAAGTTTAAAATATTACATAATGTCTTCCTTCAAGATGGAAATTCCTTTTGAATTTCCAAGTTACCAAAACAAAAGTCTAACATCTTAAAAATATTCACGTTTGGAAACACATTGGTTGTCTGGCTCTAGGCTGTATCTGATATCCTCTCTGCCACAGAATAGATGATTACCCTCTGCCTGAGTCTTTGTTTGGTTGGTTGGTTTTAAATGCAATACAAGGCCAAGTGAGGTGGCTCACACCTGTAATCCCAGCGCTTTGGGAGGCCAAGGCAGGTGGATCACCTGAGGTCAGAAGTTCGAGACCAGCCTGGCCAACATAGCGAAACACTGTCTTTACTAAAAATACAAAAAGTTTCCCGGCTTGGTGGTGGATGCCTGTAATCCCAGCTACTCGGGAGGCTGAGGCAGGAGAATTGCTTAAACCTGGAGGTAGAGGTTGCAGTGAGCCGAGTCATGCCACTGCATTCCAGCCTGGGCGACAAATCAACTTAGTCTCAAAAAATATATATGAATAAAAGCAATACAAGCTATGTTTCTTAGTGGAGCATGTGCTGGGGCTGATTGACAAGGCTGGGGAGGAGGATGGGAGCCAATGCAGGAGCTTAGAGGCCTGTACGCTGCCCCAAGGTGGTTAGGCTTTTCTGTAAACCTGGGTTCTCAGTCTTCCTGTGCTCTAATCCGCCTCCTTCCTCACACTCACCTCCAGGCCTCTTAAGATCCACCTGTGCTTGCTTGAGCCCCTTTGCCAATGGTCCCCTGGAGCCCCGCCAGCCACCGGCCTGTCTGGGGCAGCACTGGGATGTGGTCCCCATTATTGCCGCGAGCCCCCTTCCTTCATTGCATGGGAAGAGCATCCCCACAGGGCACACCCGTGTCCAGAGTGTGTGGGGATCTCCCCGAGTGCAGCAGGCAGTCCTCCAGCAAACACTGACTCATTCAACGCAATCCTCATGCCCTCTACCTGGAGATGGTGTCAGATCCCCCAGGTGGAGGGCTTAGTCCCACAAGGCTGCCCCCACTTCAGACACCAGTCTCAAGTCCCAGGTTGTGACCTGTGCTTCTGACCTACCGGCTATAAATTGGGGGTTCCAATGATACCTGTCTCAGGTTTCACTAGGAGATGCGCAGAATTCAGGGAAATACTTTACTTGCATCTATCTATCTACCTACCTACCTACCTACCTATCTCTCTCTATCTATCTATCTACCTACCTACCTCTCTATCTATCTATCTATCTAAATGGGGTTTCACTGTTTGCCCCGGCTGGTCTTGAACTCGTGGGCTCTAGCATTCCTCCTGACTCAGCCTCCCAAAGTACTGGGATTACAGGCATGAACCACTGCACCTCGCTACTCATGTTTTATGAAGGGGCTTACAAAGGATACAGGTGGGTAGCCAGACTGAAGAGATATATTGGACAGTCACATGGTTGGTTCCCCTGGCATCCAGCTCCCATCCTGAGGCTATCCAGGAGCCCACCAAGAGCCCACTCACTAGAACAAAAGCTGTTTCGCTCACCTACAAAATCCCAAGGGATTTAGGAGCTTTATGTCCGACGCTCCTGTCACTCAGGAGATCACAAAGGTCGTAGGAGCTCTGTGTTAGGAACCAGATCAAAGACTAAATCTCAGAACAAAAGATTCTCCTAGAAGCCCTATTGCTCAGGAAATCCACAGGGTTGAGGTACTCTATGTCGGGAACCAGGGCAGAGACCGGATATACATTTCTTTTTAAATCACAGGATCACACCCAGAAAAGGAAAGCAGTGTCTCAACTCACACTCAGGTCTATCTGACCCACATAATTTTAAGAAAAGATTTTTCTATCTTGATTGTTTTTTCTAATTCTGGAAGCACTTTAAATATTGTTACTATCTTGTCCTGTCTGCCTCGTGTCCATGTGATTTCCGTAAGTAGGGCTTACTTTTATTTTCACAAATCAGAAAAACACAGACACAAGGCAAAAAGAGGTGAAAGCCATCTCCTTATGAAGGAGGTCTGGGGAGTCTCAGCACTGCTGCCCAGGGAGATGAAGCAGCCAGAGTTAAGGAAACGCCTGGGAGGCTGGGCATGGCGGCTCACGCCTGTAATCCTAGCACTTTCGGAGGCTGAAGTGGGCAGACCCCATCTCTATATTTTAAAAAAATATATTCAAAAAAAGGGAAAAAAGCATAGGAGCTTATATGTGAGGGCAAGTCTTTCTACCCACAGGAAGACAAGACAAAGGAAACAACAAGAAACGGGAAACAAACAGAAAACACAGACTAGAACGTGGATTTGTAATAACCCCAAACTGAAACTCTCTTAGATGACCTTCTGCAGGCAAATGGTTAAACTCTAGCGCCTCTGCCCTGTGGAATGCTATTCAGCCCAGAAATGAAGCTGAGTTGTGGTCTAGGGCATGTCTTGGCATGTCACTGCCTCATGCTAAGGAAATCAAGGACATGGACACACGTGGAGTGAGGTTAAGAGCTGAGGTTCAATAGGCAAAAGAAAGAGAAGAGAGAATAGCACTCTCTCCTGCAGAGAGAGGGGCACCCGAATGGGAATTCTGGCCTGAGGCAGAGTGCACCAGATTTCATAGACAGGATTGAGGAAGCAGTGTCTGATTTATATGGGGTCCAAAGATTGGGTGGACTGGGTGTGACGTTTAGAACACCAGGAAGCTGGTTGCCCCGCCCTAATCTTACGCAGATGGGGTCTTTGCCTGTCCCGCGCCATGTTGTCTTTTGCTTACTGTACGCGTGGTTTGGCTAAGAGAAGGGAAGATGGAGCCACCATGTTGAACATGCCTAGTCCCAGGTAACCTTTTGCTATTGGCACAGCTGCCGGCATTCACCTGTGCAGGCTTCCAGCTTATCTATGTCTGCAGCTTGATTTTACAGGCTGCTCTTTGTTAGAAAAGAAAATGATTTGGGGGCTGCTTTTTATTAAAAGGAAAACCTTACCGAGGTCTTCACTACCCTCACTATCTGCCTAAGTAATTTCTTCTTAACTCCTGTATCATCACACACAGCAATCTAGATGACTCAAGTGAATTAGGCTGAGGAAAAAAAAAACCAATCCTAAAAAGTTACTGTCCTCATTACTTTTTTTTTTTTTTTGAGACGGAATTTCATTTTTGTTACTCAGGGTGGAGCGCAATGGCACAATCTTGGTTCACCGCAACCTCCACCTCCCAGGTTCAAGTGATTCTCCTGCCTCAGCCTCCTTAGTAGCTGGGGTTAGTGGCATGTACTACCATGCCTGGCTAATTTTTTTATTTTTAGTAGAGACAGGGTTTCTCCATGTTGGCCAGGCTGGTCTTGAACTCCTGACCTTGTGATCCACCTGCCTCGTCCTCCCAAAGTGCTGGGATTACAGGCGTGAGCAACCCCGCCTGGCTTTTTTTTTTTTTTTTTTTTTTTTTTTTTTGAGATGGCTCACTCTGTCACCCAGGCTGGAGTGCAGTGGCGTGATCTCGGCTCACTGTAACTTCCGCCTCTCAGATTCAAGCGATTTCTCCTGCCTCAGCCTCTTGAATAGCTGGTATTGCAGGTGTCTGCCATCACTCCTGGCTAATGTTTGTATTTTTAGTAGAAATGGGTTTCACCGTGTTGGCCAGGCTGGTCTTGAACTCCTGACCTCAGGTGATTCCCCCGCCTTGGCCTCCCAAAGTGCTGGAATTATAGGCGTGAGCCACCACATTCGGCCCTATGTAACATCACTATTGTAGAAGCTAACACTGGGGCTGGGTACAGGGTGTCCTGCCTGTAATACCAGTGAGGCAAGAGAATACAGCCTGGAAGTCGGGAATCTAAGGGCTTCCTGGAACAAAATCAAATGGAAACACTTCAGCAATAATAGGACGTAGCCTCTTCATTTACATACGGCATACACCAGGTGTATGGGAAGCCTCAAGGCAGTATTGAAACCACAGAAAATTCTGTAACAGAGCCCTTGAGCCTCTTTCCTGGCTGCTTCCGCCCTGTGGAGAGTGCTTGTGCTTTCATTTTCAGTACATTGCCTCTTTTGTTGCCTCATTCTTTCCTTGCTTTGTGCATTTCATCCAGTTATTTGTTCAAAACATGGAGACCCTGGACAACTTGCAGTCCAGACCCTCTGCTGGTAACACCAGCACTGTAGGGAGGCTGAGGCGGGTGGATCACTGGAGCTCAGGAGTTCAAGACCAACCTGGACCATGTAGTGAAACGCCGTCTCTATAAAAAATACAAAAATTAGCCAGTCATGGTGGCGTGTGCCTGTAGTTCCAGCTGCTCAGGAGGCTGAGGAGGGAGGATCAGTTGAGCCCAGGAGGCGGATGGAGGTTGCAGGGAGCCGAGTGAGACTGCACCACTGCACTTCAGCATAGGTGACAGGGAGATCCTGTCTCAAAAAAGCCTCAAAAAACTAAGATTGGTTTTTTGAGATGTTTCTTCGGGCTTTAAAATTTTTTTTTTTCATTTTTTGAGATGGAGTCTCACTCTGTCACCCAGGCTGGCGTGCAGTGGTGCAATTCGGCTCACCTCAACCTCTGCCTCCCGGGTTCAAGTGATTCTCCTGCCTCAGCCTCCCAAGTAGCTGGGATTACAGGCATGTGCCACCAAGCCTGGCTAATTTTGAATTTTTAGTAGAGACAGGGTTTCACCATGTTGGTAAGGCTAGTCTCGAACTCCTGATGTTGTGATCCACCTGTCTTGGCCTCCCAAAGTGCTGGGATTACAGGCGTGAGCCATCATGCCTGGCCAACTTTTCAGGTTTTTGCATTTCTATTGATGGCTCCATTCCTACCTGCCAGCCAATCCTGTGACCCCACCTGGAAGCCGACTCATCGTGCACAAGGACCATGCTCCACACCCCTAGGATTGCACCCCCAACCAATCAGCAGCACCCTGGACTGCCAAACTATCCTTGAAAGACCTTATGCTCTGAGCTTTTGGAGAGACTAATTTGAGTAATAAAACTCCTGTCTCCTCTTCAGCCAGCTCTGCACCAATTAAATTCTTTCTCTATTGCAGTTCCCCTGTCTTGGTAAATGGGCTCTGTCTGGGCTGCAGGCACAATGAACCCGTTGGGTGGGTGGTCAACTGTGGGGAGGGGCAGGAGGTCGGGAGGTGTGTCTATAAAAGGGCAACGCAAAGGACCCTTGTGGGGATGGGACCTTTTCACATCTTGACCATGGTGGTGAATGCACGCCTACACGTGTGATAAGCTGCACAGAACTAAACACACACCCACAATGGAGTAAGGGTGAGGGAAAATCTGAGGAAGATGGGTGGATTGTCTGAATGTCAGTATCCCAAGTGTCATATTGTACTGTAGTCTTGCAAGATGTTACCATTGGGGGAAACTGGGCAAAGCGTACACAGGGTGTCTGGATTATTTCTTTTTTGAGGTGGTGTTTCGCTTTTGTTGCCCAGGCTGGAGTGCAATAGCATGATCTTGGCTCACACAACCTCCACCTCCCTGCAACCTCCACCTCCCTGCAACCTCCACCTCCCTGCAACCTCCACCTCCCTGGTTCAAGTGATTCTCCTGCCCCAGCCTCCTGAGTAGCTGGGATTACAGATATATGCCACCACGCCTGGCTAATTTTATATTTTTAGCGGAGATGGGGTTTCTCCACATTTGTCAGGCTGGTTTTGAACTCCCGACCTCAGGTCATTTGCCCACCTTGGCCTCCTAAAGAGTTGGGATTACAGGCGTGAGCCACCGTGCCTGGCTGTCTATGTTATTTCTGAAAACCGTATGTGAATCTACAATTCTCTCAAAATAAAAAGTGTAATTATTTTTAAAAAGCTGGAGAATGTGAATCACCACACTTGGATTTGATAAACAACTATGAACTTTGAATATCAACTCAGCTGTGCTAGACTCTCTGGACCTAACTGAAGACTCACCCAGGCTGGCGTGCAGTGGTACAATCAGCAATCAGAGCTTCCTACAGCCTCTGCCTCTGGGTTCAAGCCATTCTCCTGCCTCAGCCTCCTGAGTAGCTGGAATTACAAGCACCTGCCACCACACCTGGCTAATTTTTGTATTTTTAGTAGAGATGGGGTTTCACCATGTTGACCAGGCTGGTCTCGAGCTCCCAACCTCAAGTGATTTGTCTCCCAACCTTAAGTGATTGGCCTCCCAATGGGCTGGGATTACAGGTGTGAGCCACTGTGCCCAGCCAGTGGGACTTGTTTTTAACTACTTGCAAAGGGGCTTACAGACTCATTGTGTCCTACCTAGGGCGGGATTTGATCCTTCATTAGCACACTCACCCCCTGACACACACCCCAGCACCCCAGCTGCTCTTTCTTCTGGCAGAGCCACGTGTGGTGTGTGCTCCCTTGCCTGACAAGCCAAGAAATTATGATCTTGTTGTGTGGGTCATGGTAAAGATTTTTGTCTTTCCTTTGAGTAAAGAGAGTGACAATAGTGAGGGAAACTTTTTTTGATAAGGAGTAGCAATGGAGAGAAGGGGGAAGAAGGGATGTCTGATGTTAAATAATAAGCATATCTAGTGTCCTAGTCCGTCTTCACATTGTTGTAAAGAACTGCCTGAGACTGGGTGATTCATCAATTGACTCACAGTTCGGCATGGCTGAGGCCTCAGGAAACTTACAATCATGGTGGAAGGAGAAGCAGGCACATCTTACATGGTGGCAGGTGAGTGTGTGTAAGAGGAACTGTCAAACATTTATAAAACCATGAGATCTCATGACAACTCCCTGTCACGAGAAACTGCCCCCATGATCCATCCACCTCTACCAGGTTCCACCCTCAACATGTGGGGATGTGGACATTATGATTGAAGATGAGATTTGGGTGGGGACACAGAGCCAAACCATATCAACTAGTTTGTGTTCTGTTTTGAGTTCTCTTTCTGTATGTCCCTTATGGTAGTGGTAATTATTTTCCAGTTATACTTGTGGTTGAAAAGCAATACAAACTTTCAGGAATAGAGGACAACCATCATGTTTGCCATCACTTTGGAAATACACAACTAATCTCAGGAGACTAGTTATTTCCTCCCAAGCCAGGTATCAGAAAATCCCACAGCAGCCACCAGGGAGAATGCCAGTTAGCATATGGGAACGCCCATGGATAAGCTGTCTTCACAGTGGGCTAACTGGAAAATGCAAGGAAACCACAGACACGGCCAGGTATGGTGTCTCACACCTGTAATCCCAGCACTTTGGGAGGCTGAGGCAGGCAGATCACCTGAGGTCAGAAGTTTGAGACCACCCTGGCCAACATGTTGAAACCCTGTCTCTACTAAAAATACAAAAAATTAAGCCAAGCATGGTGGTGTGTCCCTGTAATCCCGGCTACTCAGGAGGCTGAGGCAGGAGAATCACTTGAACCGGGGAGGTAGAGGTTCTGGTGAGCCAAGATCGAGCCACTGCACCCCAGCCTGGGCAACAGAGAAGGACTCCATCTCAAAAAAAAGAAAAGAAAAGAAAAGCACAGACATGAGGATCCAGCTCTTCTTCTGTCATAAATATTTTTCTCTTACAGCAACATAAATCACAACACGATCTCTAATTATCGCCTTTATTTTGCTACATAAAAGATACAATATAAAGGATGAGAAAACAATGAAATAGAAGTGGCAGCCCTTTTCTCACTGAATTCAGCTCTTTGCTGTCATGGCCCTGAACTGCCATTCAGGAGGGCATTTTTTCTCTCCTTTGGGTGCTTCTGGATTGAAAATTCTTTCAGCATTAACTGGCCCACTATTTACACTGGTTGCTTGTGCAGTATGAATAGAGGATATACTCTTTCTTGTTTTTCCCACAAAAGGCTTTGAAAGAGTTGGAAATCCCCTAAGAGATGGCTGCAAGAGCTCAGCGTGTAATTCTTAGAGCTGAGGGTGTAATTTTTAGAACATTGGTCTCTTCCTGAACATTTACGACTTTAAAGCTGAGAAATTATTAACACTAGGTGGCAGCAGAGACCTAGTGCAGGTGAGCGGTCAGCCATCTGAAATGCAGATGAGGATAACGGTTAATTCATTCTAGCCTGTCTACGCTCGTTTCTCTAGTTGTGAAATGAAAGATCAGCTCACTTGTAATTCATTCTGGATTTGTCATGAAATTATTGAACAAACACAACATCAGAAAAGCTGTTTCAAATCCTGCCTCACCTTCATGGGCATGAACGTGGCTTACACGTTACTGCTAAAATCAGAGCTTTAAACATTAACTTGAAATTACATTTAAAAATGAGAAACATAGTTAGAATGCACTTATAGGTAAGGAAGATGGGTGTGGTCACATCAGATCCAGGAGTTTTGTCAGTAAGGCAGGGGGACAAAGGCAGAACTGAAGTAAGGAAAATGAGCTGCAACCAGGTACATGTCTTTCTGTGTATTTCACCATTGACCTTCACACCAGCCCTATCAGGGACACAGCTCATCTGACAGTTCTGTGAGAATAAAGCTCAGAGACGTTTGCCCCAGTTCACAGGAAGAACAGCAAAGCCAGGATTGGAACCCAGCTCTCCTCTAGGTGAGCCTGACTTATTTTGCTCTATCACGTTGCCTTAATGGCAAGAATGTGTAGCTACCCTGATGGATACGGTTCACAGAAAACATAGTCTTCTAAGATGGATCAAAGCCGGAGAGCTGAGATAGGTAATTCATGTGCTGGATAATCGCATCAAATCCAGAAGAAAAAAATCTCAGCAAATGATGGTCGTAGATCCAGGCTGAAAAGATAAGTTTTATGAAGGGGCCGGGCATGTTGGCTCACGCATGTAATCCTAGCACTTTGGGAGGCTGAGGCAGGCGAATCACCTGAGGTCAGGAGTTCGAGATCAGCCTGGCCAGCATGGTGAAACTTCATCTCTACTAAAAATACAAAAAGTAGCTGGGCATGGTGATGAACACCCGTAATCCCAGCTACTCAGGAGGCTGAGGCAGGAGCATCGCTTGAACCCGGGAGGCAGAGGTTGTAGTGAGTTGAGATCTCACCACTGCCCTCCACCCTGGATGACAGAGTGAGACTCCATCTCAAAAAAAAAAAAAAAGAAGCTTTATGAAGGATGGATGCAGAGTCTCTGGTTGGAAATAATTGTAGAAGTGCAGGTTGAGGGCGTTTCTATGAAAAAGACCCAGAGGTTTTGGCAAACTGCTTGGTATGAACCAACAATGTGCATTTATGGTCAAAAAAGTCAATGAAATCTCCAAGTTCCCCTAATGGAGAGAGAAAAATAGCCCAATTTATTCCACTTTATTAGCCCACTTGGGAATCATTCTGTTCAATTCTGGGACATTGTTAGAGGGACAGAATTCAAAGGTTGGGCAAGATGGTGATGAATTTGAAAACGATATACAATGGAGAATCACTGCAAAATTGGAAGATTTTCACTGGGTAAAGGGAAGATATAAAGAATATATGAAAAACTGACTTTTTTTTTTTTTTTTAAGAGACAGGGTCTCATTTTATGCCCAGGCTGGAATGCAGTGGTGCAATCACAGCTCACTGTAGCCTTGAACTCCTGGGCTCAAGTGATCCTCCCAAGTAGCTAGGGCTATAGGCATGTGCCACCATGCCTGGCTAATTTTTAATTTTTTTGTAGAGACAGGTTCTCACTTTGTTACCCAGGCTGCTCTCAAACTCCTGGCCTCAGGTAATCCTCCCACCTTGGCCTCCCAAACTGCCAGGATTACAGGCATGAGCCACCAAGCCTGGCCTGAAAAGCTGACTTTTAATGGCTAAAACTAAATTAGATTTATTCTGTAGTTTCCGAAATCAAAAGTAGGATTAATGGAATCAAGTTACAAAGATGTAGATTTCAGCTCAGTTGAAGTGTAGCAGAAAAAAAGAAAACAAATCAATGGATAGTCCTGACTTTCGGTTATTATGGGTATAACATAACTCACCTGAGAGTATTTCTGTTTGGGGCATTAACCTTAATGAGTGTCTTTGGCTCTGCAAGGTAAGCTGCCTCTGGTTGCAGTTAGAGGAGGAAGACAAAAAAAATAAAGTCCAATTCGACAGCCTGGTAAAGTGGGAAGAATGTTTGCTTTCCTTGGGGACCTGGAAAGTGCCTGAAATCCCAGCACTTTGGGAGGCCCAGGTGGGCAGATCACCTGAGGTCAGGAGTTCAAGACCAGTCTGGTCCAACATGGAGAAACCCCTTCTCTACTAAAAATGCAAAAAAAATTAGCCAGGTGTGGTGGTGCATGCCTGTAATCCCAGCTACTCGGGAGGCTGATGGAAGAGAATTGCTTAAACCTGGGAGCAGAGGTTGCGGTGAGTCAAGATCGTGCTGCTGCACTCCAGCCTGGGTGACAAGAGCAAAACCCCGTCTCAAAAAAAAAAAAAGAAGAAGAAGAAACAAAAGCAGCGCTGGGGAAAGTCCAAGTCCCTGGAGGGACTCACAGAGTGAGAAATTTGCCAAGGTGGGTAATGGCAAAGTTTCCCATTCAGTTTGAAATTATTTCCTGTTTGGGGCCATAATTATCCTCGACAACCACTAAGTCTTCAGAAAAGTCTGCCAGACTCAGTGACCTTCTATCAGTGGCGTTTGGTGGGGGGAGTGACAGAAGAGGACTGGAGTCCCTGGTGGGTGGAGGGGCCCGTGAGAAGACGAAGAATGTGGACACTGAACTGTGGCCAAGGGTGGCAGGCGAGTGACAGCCTGGACGGACTGCTCAATACGGGGAGCGCTGGAGGAGGCCACCCACAGTCTGCCTTCCTTAGTTCTCAAAGATAAAGGTGACTTCAGCAGGATGGAGGAATTGGGGGTATCTGGATTACACTAGGGGAGACTTAAAATTGTCCAACAATGAGGTAGTGAGCGCCCTGTCACTGGAAGAGTTCTCTTGGAAACATCTGTCAAAGCTGTTGTAGAGGGAATCCTTGCATTGGTTAAGAGGATGCACCAATGAACCAAAAAGGTTCTTATGAAAGCTGGGCGCAGTGGCTTATGCGTGTGATCCTAGCACTTTGGGAGACTAAGGTGAGAGGATTGCTTGACCCTGGAGCTTGAGATCAGCCTTGGTAACATAGGGAGACCCTGTCTCTCCTTTTTTTTTTTTGAGAAGGAGTTTCACTCTCATTGCCCAGGCTGGAATGCAATCGTACCATCTCGGCTCACTGCAATCTCTGCCTCCTGGGTTCAAGCAATTCTCCTGCCTCAGCCTCCCAAGTAGCTGGGATTACAGGCATGCGCCACCATGCCTGGCTAATTTTTTTTGGGCAGGCTGGTCTCGAACTCCCAACCTCAGGTCATCCTCCTGCCTTGGCCTCCCAAAGTGCTGGGATTATAGGCGTGAGCCACTGCACCAGGCCAGGAGACCTTGTCTCTAGGAAAAGAAATATATATATATATATATATATATATATATATATAGCTGGGCATGGAGGTAAACACCTTTCATCCCAGCTACTCAGGAGGCTAAGGTGGGAGGATCGCTTGAGCCCAGGAGGTCAAGGCTGCAGGGAGGCATGATCACACCACTGCACTCCAGCCTGGACAACAGAGTGAGACCCTGTCTCAAAAAAATAAAATAAAAACTTTAAGATCCTTATGAAAGAAGCTGACCACCTTTCCTGATTCTGTCCTATCATTCAAAGGTCGACTTTGGGTTGGCAAAACTTCATGGTACTCTATAAATTAATATCTAAATCACTGGCTATTTTTAAAATAATACTGATTCTACTTTTCTATCCATCCACTTAGGGAGTATCTGTTCAGTTTGCAGGGACACACTTTTTTTTTTTTTTTTTGAGACAGAGTTTCGCTCTTGTTACCCAGGCTGGAGTGCAAATGGCACAATCTCAGCTCACTGCAACGTCCACCTCCTGGGTTCAAGCAATTCTCCTGCCTCAGCCTCCCGAGTAGCTGGGATTACATTACAGGCGTGTGCCACCATGCCCAGCTAATTTTCGTATTTTTAGTAGAGACAGGGTTTCACCATGTTGACCAGGATGGTCTCGATCTCTTGACCTCGTGATCCACCCACCTCGGCCTGCCAAAGTGCTGGGATTACAGGCGTGAGCCACCGCGCCCGGCCATGTTTTTATATATATATTATTGCACTTTAGGTTCTGGGGTACATGTGAAGAACATGCAGGATTGTTGCATAGGTACATACATGGCAATGTGGTTTGCTGCCTCCATTCCCCTGTCACCTACATTTGGCATTTCTCCCCATGTTATCCCTCCCCAACTCCCTACCCCGCACTGTCCCTCCCCTAGTCCCCCCCAGCCACAGACCTCAGTGTGTGATGCTCCACTCCCTGTGTCCATGTGTTCTCATTGTTCAACACCTGCCTATTAGAGAGAACATGTGGTGTTTGATTTTCTGTTCTTGTGTTAGATTGCTGAGAATAATGGTTTCCACGTTCATCCAGGTCCCTACAAAGGATACAAACTCTTCGTTTTTGATGGCTGCGTAGTATTCCATGGTGTATATGTGCCACATTTTCTTTATCCAGTCTCTACTTGATGGGCATTTGGGTTTGTTCCAAGTCTTTGCTGTTGTAAACAGTGCTGCAATGAACATATGTGTGCATATGTCTTTATAATGGAATGATTTATAGTCCTTTGGATATATACCCGATAATGGGATTGCTGGGTCAAATGGAATTTCTATTTCTAGGTCCTTGAGGAATCACCACACTGTCTTCCACAATGGTTGAACTAATTTTACACTCCCACCAACAGTGTAAAAGTGTTCCTATTTCTCCACATCCTCTCCAGCATCTGTTGTCTCCAGATTTTTTAATGATTGCCACTCTAACTGGCATGAGATGGTATCTCAATGTAGTTTTGATTTGCATTTCTCTAATGACCAGTGATGATGAGCATTTTTTCATGTGTTTTTTGGCCTCATATATGTCTTCTTTTGAGAAGTGTCTGTTCATATCCTTTGCCCACTTTTGAATAGGTTTGTTTGTTTTTTCTTGTAAATCTGTTTTAGTTCATTGTAGATTCTGGATATAAGTCCTTTGTCAGATGGGCAAATTGCAAACATTTTTTCCCATTCTGTTGGTTGCTGCTTCACTCTAATCATTGTTTCTTTTGCTGTGCAGAAACTCTGGAGTTTAATTAGATCCCATTTGTCTATTTTGGCTTTTGTACCCAGTGCTTTTAGTGTTTTAGTCATGAAGTCCTTGCCTATGCCTATCTCCTGAATGCTTTTGCCTAGGTTTTCTTCTAGGGTTTTCATGGTGTTAGGTCTTATGTTTAAGTCTTTAATCCATCTGGAGTTAATTTTAGTGTAAGGTGTCAGGATGGGGTCCAGTTTCTGCTTTCTGCACATGGCTGGCCAGTTTTCCCAACACCATTTATTAAACAGCGAATCCTTTCCCCATTGCTTGTTTTTGTGAGATTTGTCAAAGATCAGATGGTTGTAGATGTGTAGATGTTGCCTCCGAGGCCTCTGTTCTGTTCCATTGGTCTATATCTCTGTTTTGGTACCAGTACCATGCTGTTTTGATTACTGTAGCCTTGTAGTATAGTTTGAAATCAGGTAGCATGATGCCTCCAGCTTTGTTCTTTTTGCTTAGAATTGACTTGGCTATGCAGACTCTTTTGGTTCCATATGAAGTTCAAAGTGGTTTTTTCTAGTTCTGTGAAGTAGGTCATTTGTAGCTTGATGGGGATATCATTAAATCTATAAATTACTTTGGGCAGTATGGCCATTTTCATGATATTGATTCTTCCTAATCATGTGCATGGAATGTTTCTCCATCTGTTTGTGTCCTCTCTTATTTCTTTGAGCAGTGGTTTGTAGTTCTCCTTGAAGAGGTCCTTTACGTTCCTTGTTAGTTGTATTCCTAGATATTTTATTCTCTTTGTAGCAATTGTGAATGGCAGTTCGTTCTTGATTTGGCTCTCTTTAAGTCTGTTATTGGTGTATTGGAATGCTTGTGATTTTTGCACATTGATTTTGTATCCTGAGACTTTGCCAAAGTTGCTTATCAGTTTCAGATTTTGGGCTGAGATGATGGGGTCTTTTAAATATACAATCATGTCATCTGCAAATAGAGACAATTTGGCTTCCTCCTTTCCTAGTTGAATACCCTTTATTTCTTTTTCTTGCCTGATTGCTCTGGCTAGAACTTCCATTACTATATTGAATAGGAGTGGAGAGAGAGGGCACCCTTGTCTAGTGCCAGATTTCAAAGGGAATGCTTCCAGTTTTGCCCATTCAGTATGATATTGGCTGTGGTTTTGTCAGAAATAGCTTTTATTATTTTGAGATATTTTCCATCAATACCTAGTTTATTGAGAGTTTTTAGCATAAAGGGCTATTGAATTTGGTTGAAGGCCTTCTCTGCATCTATTGAAATAATCATGTGGTTTTTGTTTTTGGTTCTGTTTATGTGGTGAATTACGTTTATAGACTTGCGTATGTTGAACCAGACTTGCATCCCCAGGATGAAGCCTACTTGATTGTGATGGATAAGCTTTTTGACTGCTGTTGTAATTGGCTTGTCAGTATTTTATTGAAGATTTTTGCATCTATGTTCATTATGAATATTGGCCTGAAGTTTCTTTTGTTGTTGAGTCTCTGCCAGGTTTTGGTATCAGGATGATGTTGGTTTCATAAAATGATTTGGGAAGGATTCCCTCTTTTTGGATTGTTTGGAATAGTTTCAGAGGGAGTGGTACCAGCTTCTCTTTGTATGTATGGAAGAATTCAGGTGTGAACCCATCTGGACCTGGGCTTTTTGTGGTTGGTAGGCTATTAATTGCTGCCTCAATTTCAGATCTTGTTACTGGTCTATTCAGGGTTTTGACTTCTTCCTGGTTTAGGTTTGGGAGGGTGCAAGTGTCCAGGAATTTATCCATTTCTTCCAGGTTTACTGGTTTATGTGCATAGAGTTGTTTGTAGTAATATCTGATGGTGGTTTGTATTTCTGTGGAATCTGTGGTGATATCCCCTTTATCGTTTTTCATTGCATCTATTTGATTCTTCTCTCTTTTCTTTATTATGAATCTGGCTAGTGTCTATTTTGTTGATCTTTTCAAAAAACCAGCTCCTGGATTTATTGATTTTTTTGAAGGGCTTTTTATGTCTCTGTCTCCTTCAGTTCTGCTCTGATCTTAGTTATTTCTTGTCTTCTGCTAGCTTTTGAGTTTTTTTGATCTTGCTCCTCTAGCTCTTTCCATTTTGACAGTAGGGTGTCGATTTTAGATCTTTCCTTGCTTCTCATGTGGGCATTTATTGCTATAAATTTTCCTGTAGACACTGCCTTACATGTGCCCCAGAGATTCTGGTACATTGTGTCTTTGTTCTCGTTGGTTTTGAAGAACATCTTAATTTCTGTCTTCATTTCATTGTTTATCCAGTCAGCATTAAAGAGCCAATTGTTCAGTTTCCATGAAGCTGTGCGGTTGTGAGTTAGTTTCTGAATTCTGAGTTCTAACTTGATTGCACTGTGGTCTGAGAGACTGTTTGTTATGATTTCCGTTCTTTTGCATTTGGTGAGGAGCAATTTCCAATTAGGTGGTCAATTTTAGAGTAGGTGTGATGTGGTGCTGAGAAGAATGTATATTCTGTGGATTTGGGGTGGAGAGTTCTGTAAATGTCTATTAGGTTTGCTTGGTCCAGGTCTGAGTTCAAGTCCTGGATTTCCTTGTTAATTTTCTGTCTTTTTGATCTAATATTGACAGTGGAGTGTTCAAGTCTCCCACTATTATTGTGTGGGAGTCTAAGTCTCTTTGTAAGCCATTAAGAACTTGCTTTATGTATCTGGGTGCTCCTGTATTGGGTGCATATATATTTAGGATCTTTAGCTCTTCTCATTGCATTGATCCTTTTACCATTATGTAATATCCTTCTTTGTCTCTTTTGATCTTTGTTGGTTTGAAGTCTATTTTATCAGAGACTAGGATTACAACTTCTGCTTTTTTTTGCTCTCCCATTTGCTTGGTAAATCTTCCTCCATCCCTTTATTTTGAGCCTATGTGTATTCTTGCATGTGAGATGGGTTTCCTGAATATGGCACACCAGTGGGTTTTGACATTTTATCCAATTTGCCAGTCTGTGTCTTTTGATTGGGGCATTTAGCCCATTTACATTTAAGATTAATAATGTTATGTGTTAATTTGATCCTGCCATTTTGATGCTAGCTGGTTGTTTTGCCCGTTAGTTGATGCAGTTTATTCATTGTGTCGATGCTCTTTACCATTTGGTACGTTTTTGGAGTGGCTGGTCCTGGTTGTTCCTTTCTGTGTTTAGTGCTTATTTCAGGAGCTCTTGTATGGCACGCCTGGTGGTGATGAAATCTCTGAGCAATTGCTTGTTCGTGAAGAATTTTATTTCTCCTTTGCTTATGAAGCTTAGTTTGGCTGGATATGAAATTCTAGGTTGAAAGTTCTTTTCTTTAAGGATGTTGAATATTGGCCCTCACTCTCTTCTGGCTTGTAGGGTTTCTGCTGAGAGATCCACTGAGTCTGATGTGCTTCCCTTTGTGGGTAACCCAACCTTTCTCTCTGACTGCCCTTAGCATTTTTTCCTTCATTTCAACCCTGGTGAATCTGATGATTATGGGACACACTTGTTAATTAGACATGATTCCTGCTCTTTTATGAAACATTTTCATATGTACCATCTTATTAGAACAAATTTTCTGGATGAGGAATTTGGAGCAGTGGGAATAGCAGCTGTGAATCTGGAGACCTTTGTTCTCACTCCAGCTCTGCTGTGTGACTGAGAGAAGACACACAACCTCTGTCAATCTCCAGTTACTCATCTGTAAAATAAAGATGCAGAACCATTCCAGGTGTTGCAAACTCCAAAGCCTGCGGGGCTCAGGCATGAAACATAAGCACATGAAGCAAGCAGGTGTTATGATCTGTTTCATAACCACATTAAGTAGAATTCACTAGGCCGTCGCCTTGCATGTCAAGCATTGCACGATTCTTCTCTTCCATAGGGAATTGTATTCTCTACAGACAGAAAGAGGGGAACCACGGACACGGGCCTACTTGAGAGTGGACAATAGGAGAAAGGAGAGGTTCAGGGAAAAAAAAACCCAACTATTGGGTACTTAGTACGTGGGTGACAAAATAATATGTACACCCAACCCCCAAGTCACGAGTTTACCTAAATAGCAAACCTGTACATGTAGCCCTGAACCTGAAATAAAATACACAACTAACATATATAATAAAACTAATATATATAATAAAAAGTATATATGTAGAATTATGTTCCATCCCATATTTCTTAAAATGCTCAGCCTTCTAGATCTTTCATTTATTTATCCACATTGATGGAGACACAGTGTAAAGGGTTTTAGTGGCACACAACAGTCTCCACTATGGCTACTTTAAACAGGAAAGAGATTTATGAAAGAGATACTGAGCCAGGCGTGGTGGCTCACGCCTGGCTTTGGGAGGTCGAGGTGGGTTGATTACTTGAGGTCAGGAGTTCGACACCAGCCTGGCCAACATGGTGAAACCTCATCTCTACTAAAAATAAAAATAAAAATAAATTAGCCAGGTGTAGTAGTGTGTGCCTGTAATCCCAGCTACTTGGAAGGCTGATGCAGGAGAATTGCTTGAACGTGGGAGGTGGAGGTTGTATTGAGTCAAGATCATGCCACTGTACTTCAGCCTGGAGGACACAGCAAGACTCTATCTCCAAAAAAAAAAAAAAAAGAGAGTTACTGAGTAATTCACAGAAATTCCAGGAAGGCTGGAAAGCCAGGCTTGAAGGCTATGGCAGCCAGTGTGGGGACTGTCAGAAAAAATACAGGACCCTCACGGAAATCTGGATGTCATTTGGAACATACTTATTTGTTATTAACCTGAAGTTCAAATTTAAATGGACAGCTGGTATTTTTATTTGCACAGTCTGGCCACCTTAGCCAAAAGTTATGCCTAAATGACACTCTGAGATGATTCTATGTGCTGACACCAGCGATGCTACCCAGCCCTGACTCTGAGCAGGGGATGCCCCCCACCAGGTCTCTGCCAGCTCTGATTCTGAAAACCTGCTGTCCCACCCTGAACCTGTTCCTCATGGGTCCCCCTTTATATCATGTCTCCAATTCGAGGTCTTGAAAAGAAGCCCAATAGTCAATCAATCAAAGGAAGGAGGCCCATTCTCACCAGTAATCAGGGAAATGCAAGTTAACTCAAAAGACAGTATTGGTGAGTCAGTGGGTGGTAATTAAGAGCCTGGACCTTGTGGCCGGACAGTGTAGATTTGCATCTTGGCTTGGTGGTGTATTTGGTGCTGTGGCTCAGTTTCCTCCTCTGTAAAGTGTGGGTAATAGTCTTATCTCAACGCCATTTGAAGAATGTGTTTCTAAATTTCTGATATGCTTTGAAGTTGTTTTTTTTTTTTTGTTTTTTTTTGTTTTGAGATGGAGTTTCACTCTTGTTGCCCAGGCTGGACTGTAATGGTTCCATCTCAGGGCATTGCAACCTCCATCTCCTGGGTTCAAGTGATTTTCCTGCCTCAGTCTCCCAAGTAGCTGGGATTACAGGCATGCATCACCACACCTGGCTAATTTTGGATTTTTAGTAGAGACGGGGTTTCTCCATGTTGGTCAGGCTGGTCTCCATCTTTCGACCTTGGGTGATCCACCTGCTTCAGCCTCCCAAAGTGCTGGGATTACAGGCGTGAGCCACCACACCCGGCTGCTTTGAAGTTTTTTATGCTCTGGCATCGAGGGCTTCCTGCTCTCTTGACAGGGTCTCCTGGAAAGAATGTGACATTTCTGCCCCTTAACACTCAGCCTCCCCACCATGATTTACTTTGGAAACCATTTTACAAAGTAAACCATTTACTTTGGACTCCATTCATCGTGGCCTGTATCCTTGTCTGTGCCGTCAGGGCAAGTTTAGAAATGTGTTTCATTCAGCCAGGCCGTCAAGGCCAACACCAACAGTGATAAAAGTCATGTCAGTAACATGATGATAGTCGGTAGGATGCAATGAACAAGGCACTTTGCCTCTGTGGCCATCCTCCTCTAAACCCCAAACCTCGGGCTAGGATCGTGAGAAAGAAATGGAGAGAAAGAAATCCCATCTGGGGGGCAGCCTACAAAATGCTTAACTGATACTCCTCAAAACTGTCAAGATCATCAAAACCAAGGAAATCTGAGAAACTGTTAACAGCCATGAGGAACCTATGGAGTGAGAGAAGACAACTAAATATCATGTGCGATCCCGGATGAGACCCTGGAAGAGAAAAGGACATTAGATGAAAACTAAAGAAATCTGAGTGCAGTGCGGCCCTTAGTAATAATGTCCCTCTGTTGGTTCACTCATGATGACTAATGTGCCATGCTAATGTAAGATATTAATAAATAGGGCAAACTGGTCATGGAATATAGGAACCCTGTACATCTGTGCAATTTTGTTGTAAATCTAAAAATTTTATAAAATAAAAACATTATCGGTAGATTTGTGTGTGTGTGGTTTTGTTGTTTTGTTTTTAGATTGAGTCGCTCTGTTGCTCAGGCTGGAGTGCAATGGCATGATCTCGGCTCACTGCAGCCTCTGCCTCCGGTGTTCAACCCATCGTTCATTCTCCTGCCTCAGCCTCCTGAGTGGCTGGGATTACAGGCGCCTGCCATCACACCCAGCTAATTTTTGTATTTTTAGTAGAGACCGGGTTTCACCACATTGGCCAGGCTTGTCTCAAACTCTTGACCTTGTGATCCACCCACCTCAGCCTCACAAAGTGCTGGGATTACTGGCATGAGCCAGCACACCTGGCTGGTAAGGGATCTAAGACTTCTCATACGGCAGTAATTTTTTTTTCCAAGGCTGTTCATTAGAGGTAAGGAAAAGGTGTAAGATTTACCATACACCATACAACTTATACCTGATTTCTACTTAGCGTATTTTTGAGAATATTTATATAAACAAACAATGTGGTGACCCCTATTAATTGTCACCATTACCAAACTTTCAAATGACTTGTATTGACTTTTTAAAAAAATGGAGTCAGCATCTCACTAAGTTGCCCAGGCTGGACTTGAACTCTTGGGCTCAAGTGATCCCCCTGCCTCAGCCTCCCAAAGTGCTAGGATTACAAGCATGAGCCACCCTACCCAGACATGAGCGACCTTTCTAAATAATTGAATCAAAATTGTAATTACTCTTTATGTTATCTTGAGATTCTCTTAATTCTTAGCTTGATATTTTAAGATCAAGGAATAATCAGAGAGTGGTACAAAAGTGCTACTTAGTACATGAAAATCTTTCCAATTTAGGCTGCAAAGCCAATTAATCATGCTTAAAAGTAAGCATAGGCCGGGCATGGTGGCTAAAGCCAGTAATCCCAACATTTTGTGAAGCCAGGGCAGAAAGATCGCTTGAGGCTAGGGGTTTGAAACCAGCGTGGACAACACAGTGAGACTTGGTCTCTACAAAAAAATTTAAAAATTAGCCAGGTATGGAGTGCATGTCTCAGGGCTACACAGGGAGGCTGAGGCAGGAGGTTTGCTTGAGCCCAAGAGATAAATGCTACAGTGAGCTATGATCATGCCACTGCACTCCAGCCTGGGCGACAGAGCGAGACCTTGTCTCTTTAAAAAAAACCAACAACCGGGCGCGGTGGCTCAAGACTGTAATCCCAGCACTTTGGGAGGTCAAGACGGGTGGATCACGAGGTCGAGAGATCGAGACCATCCTGGTCAACATGGTGAAACCCCGTCTCTACTAAAAAAAAAAAAATACAAAAAATTAGCTGGGCATGGTGGTGCGTGCCTGTAATCCCAGCTACTCAGGAGGCTGAGGCAGGAGAATTGCCTGAACCCAGGAGGTGGAGGTTGCGGTGAGCCGAGATCACGCCATTGCACTCCAGCCTGGGTAACAAGAGCGAAACTTTGTCTCAAAAAAAAAAAACCAAAAAAACCCAACAACCAAAAAGATAAAAATTTGAAATCGCATTTATACCTCTTACTAGTCTGCATTTATTTAATTGGGCCCCTGTGCTCAGAAATGGCAGCAACCTTGAACTCACTGTGTACTGGCTAAAAGCACACACACGCATGTAGGCAATACCACTTCCTAGCTATCCAACTGGTGAAGATTAAAAATGGAAAAAGCACAGTGTTGGTGAGTAGAGAAGCAGAGTCATATGCTGCCGATGTGAGTGTGAAATGGCGAGGCCTTTTAGGAAAACACTCTGGCAACAGTGCTCTGAATGTTCAATACTCGCTCCTTTGGTTCAGCTTCATTAGAGGGAATTGACCCCATAGAGGCGTTTATGCAAATGCACAAAGATGTTCGCATGAGAATGCTTTTCTTTCTCACTCTGTTGCCCAGGCTGGAGTGTAGTGGCAGGGTCATGGCTCATTGCAGCCTTGAACTCCTGGGCTCAAGCAGTCCTCCCGCTTCAGCCTCCCAAGTAGCTGTGACCACAGACATGAGCTACCACTGTGCCCAGCTAATTTTTTAAAATTTATTTTTTGTAGAGATGGGGGAGTGTCATTTATGTTGCCCTGGCTGGTCTTGAACTCTTCAGCTCAAGTAATTCTCTCACCTTGGCCTCCCAAAGTGCAAGGATTATAGATGAGAGCCGCTGCACCTGGCCAGAATGTTTGCTTTCACCTTGTTTATTACAGTGAGAAAAAGGGGAAGCAACCTAAGTAAATATCAACAGGGAACTGATAAACGAAATTGTAGCAATGTTCACACAATGGAATACTACAAAACACTGGAAAAACATGGATCCGGATCCTATATGCTGCCATACATATTTTTCAAAGAACACACAAACTACGTGTAAAAATGTGGTTCCATTTCTTAAAAATGATATATGACTGTAAACTATATCAATGTTTGAATGTATAAATATATATCAATTATATATGTCAATTATATATATTTACAGCTGGGCATGGTGGCACATGCCTGTAATCCCAGCACTTTGGGAGGCTGAGGTGGGTGGGTCACCTGAGGTCAGGAGTTCGAGACCAGCCTGGCCAACATGGCGAAACCCTGTCTCTAAAAAAGAAAAACAAAAGAAAAAAAATTATATATATTTATAAATGTGTATTTATACATTTATAAATAAACATTTACATTTATATGTTTCTAAATACATGTAAATAAACATTGATAAATACATAGACAATTTCTTTTTTGGGGGGGCCCCTTCATTTTATTTTGTTTTATTTTTATTTTTATTGTACTTTAGGTTCTGGGGTACATGTGCAGATCATGCAGGATTGTTGCATATGTACACACATGGCAATGTGGTTTGCTGCCTCCATCCCCCTGTCACCTATAACTGACATTTTTCCCCATGTTATCCCTCCCCAACCTCCCCAGCCCCAAGCTGACCCTCCCTTGGCTCCCCACCAAAAGACACCAGTATGTGATGCTCCCCTCCCTGTGTCCACGTGTTCTCATTGTTCAACACCCACCTATGAGGGAGAACATGTGGTGTTTGATTTTCTGTTCTTGTGTCAGTTTGCTGAGAATTATGGTTTCCAGATTAATCCATGTCCCTACAAAGGACACAAACTCATCATTTTTGATGGCTGCATAGTATTCCATGAAATATATGTGCCACATTTTCCTTGTCCAGTATATCATCGATGGGCATTTGGGTTGGTTCCAGGTCTTTGCTATTGTAAACAGCACCACAATGAACATACGTGTGCACGTGTCTTTATGATAGAACAATTTATAGTCCTTTGGATATATATCCAGTAATGGGATTGCTGGGTCAAATGGAATTTCTATTTCTAGGTCCTTGAGGAATCACCACACTGTCTTCCACAATGGAGTTTACACTCCCACCAACAGTGTAAAAGTGTTCCTATTTCTCCACATCCTCTCCAGCATCTGTTGTCTCCAGATTTTTTAATGATCGCCATTCTAACTGGCATGAGATGGTATCTGAATGTGGTTTTGATTTGCATTTTTCTAATAATCAGTGATGATGAACATTTTTTCATATGTCTGTTGGCCTTAAATATGTCTTCTTTTGAAAAGTGTCTGTTCATATCCTTCGCCACTTTTGGATGGGTTGGTTTGTTTGTTTTTCCTTGTAAATCTGTTTTAGTTCTTTGTAGATTCTGGATTTAGCCCTTGTCAGATGGGTAGATTGCAAAAACTTTTACCCATTCTGTTCATACACAATTTCTGATAGGACACTTTGTTAATAGTAATCTTCTCTGGCAAAACGGCCTGAAGGGGCTGGGGTGGGAAAGGAATTTTACTTTTTTATTTTTAATGTTTTGTACTGTTCAATTTTGCTTATTTTTTGTTGAAAGAGGGTCTCACTTTGTCACCCAGGCTGGAGTGCAGTGGCACAATCTCAGCACACTGCAGCCTTGACCTCCCAAGTTCAAGCAATTCTTCTGCCTCAGCCTCCAGAGTAGCTGGGGCTACAGGTACATACCACCATACCCAGCTAATTTTTTTGTATTTTTTGTAGAGATGAGGTTTCACCATGTTACCCATGCTGGTCTTGAACTCCTGAGTTCAAGCCATCCACTGGCATCGGCCTCCCAGAGAGCTGAGATTACAGGCATGAGGCACCTCACCTGGCCCTGTTTGATTTTTTAAGTTTCTTTGGGTTTTTACATGTAAACAAAAGCTAGCTGACACTTTGGGAGACTGAGGCGGGAGGATCCCTTGAGCTCAGGAGGTCAAGGCGGTAATGAGGTCTGATTGCACCGCTGCACTCCAGCCTGGGTGACAGTGAAAGAGTGAGACCCTGTCTCAAAACAAAAACAAAACAAAACAAAAGCTAGTTAAATATTGTAAGGTTTTCTTGCCAAAAAAAAAAACAAAACAAAACTTTTTTAAATATAAAAAGGGAAGTGTTTGCAGGCTGCTCAGTATGTGGCTAAGAATAACACTCATTTTATTTTAGTTTTTTCTTGAGAATGACACGTATTGGAGGCAGCACTCAGCACCCATTGTTGGGTGCAAAGCACGGTCATTCCTCCACTTTGTTTTAATTGGGATGGCTATACCTGGCCAAATGTTTATATGGGTCAAATAAAGCACACGCCCAAACAATATGTACTTATCAACAGATTTATTACGAGGCAACTTTTATAGGTGTGTGTTACATTTCAAATGTTATACCAGTATGCCCTGAAGTCATCAGCCTGACATGAAGGTTAATAGCTTACTTAATAGGTGGTGACAATGGAAATTATATTTGAAGAGTCCCTCCCTAAAGAGTTCTGGCATTCTGAATATGACATAGTCCTTGGGAATAATAGTGTCATCCAAGAAAACTTGACTATTCTTCCAAATAGTCTCAAATGAGGTCCATTCCCTCTAATGAAGTTGAATCAAAGGATTGAGTAGTGAACATTCAAAGCCGATTTTAGAGGGAAAGGGAGGAGGAGCGTTGTTAACGACTGCAACAGGCCAGCTGAAGTCAGTTCTGAGAAATTGGAATGCAAGGGGTCTGCAACAATTTGG